CAATCATAGGCAAGGGGAATTGTATTACTCTTCAGTGAATCAAGAGACTCCCTCAGAGCTGGGTTTAGGATCTGTTTCCGTGACATCCATGGCTGCATAGAAGAGGGGTGGATACCTAAACAAAACAGATTTTTTTAATTAATTTATTTTTTTTGGTGAGGAAGATCAGTCTTGTGCTAACGTCCGTGCCAATCTTCCCCTATTTTGTATATTGGATGACACCATAGCATGGCTTGATGAGCAGTGTGTAGGTCCATGCCCAGGACTTGAACCCACGAACCCTGGGCCACCGAAGCAGAGCGCATGAACTTAACCGCTACGCCACCTGGCCGGCCCAACAAAACATACTGTTGACAGGAAGTAAAAGGGGAGAAAATGCATGCTGAGTTTGACCACTAATAATATCTACCAAGTATACTCTCATACCAACCTTTATGATGCTTCTCTATATAAGAAAGAAAACTAAGCCACCATTAAAAGGACATCTCATAGGAAGCAACATATATTTCTGCACAGGGAGTGTGTCATGGAGCCTGCTTTGAGAGAGCAGCTGAGTTACCAAAACTTGGATTTCACTAGAGCAGGGGTTGACAAACTTTTTTTGTAAAGGGTCAGATAGTAAATATTTTAGGTTTTATGAGTCATATGATCTCTGTCACAACTGCTCAACTCTGCTGTGTAGTGTGAAAGCAGTCATAGACAAAAGCAAATGAATGGGCATGGCTTATTCCAATAAAACTATTGAAAAAAACAAGCAGTGGTCTTGTTACCGAGCCCTAAGGGACCAGTGACAGACAATGGGTCCTTTTGCATGGAGCGACTTGCACCAATAGAACAAGACCGGGTTTGGAATAGCAGAGCAGAAACTTTATTCATTAATCAATGAATGGGGAAGGCAGAGCTCATGCTCTAAAACACCTTCTCCCAAGGGAAGATGAGTAGGGTTCTTATGGGATGTGAAGAGGGAGGGGTCTCGGCATCATCGCTCTGGGCAGGGGCATTTGGGGAATGTGCAGATCTTCCCTTCTTGCACAGGGCACCTTTTGCACATGTTTCCTTTTGCACATGGCACCCCATCACCATCTTGGGCCTTTCTGGTTTGGACTGGTTCTGCAGCTTGGTTAGCTGGCAATGTTCTGTCTTGGTTCCTATAAGCAAGCACAACTTAAAAACAAAGCATCAGACGTGGAAAATGGTTTAGGGACTTCCCTGGGTGACAGGCTGGATCTGGCCTGTAGTCTATAGATTGCCAGCCCTTCCATGAGAGAAGCAACAGGCAATGTTGTGCAGAGTGTACTTCATGTAATCAGCTGCCACCCAACATGTACATCTGTATTGTACATATTTCACATAATTTTTTGGAGAGGATAGCTGAGTTACCAGCAGTTGTATTTCATGGAGAGAAGCAAGAATACAGTATTGTGCATTGGACAGTACATGTACCCTGATGTGAGAAGAAAGGTATGTTAACACCTTTCAGAGATAAACTTACAACTCTGTGCCCTGTTTTCTTTACATAACCTGATGAGGGGAATAAAGTTAGGCATATTTCTGTCTCATGTAGAGAAGCAGCATATATCTTTGTGGAGTGTGTAGTTCTAAACTTTCTTGGGAAGAATGCTGAGCTATCAAGAATTATACTTCAGGGGTCAGCCCGGTGGCACAGCGGTTAACTGCGCACACTCTGCTGCAGTGGCCCAGGGTTCGCAGGTTCAGATCCCAGGCACACACTGATACACCGCTTGTGGAGCCATGCTGTGGTGGCGTCCCATATAAAGTGGAGGAAGATGGGCACGGATGTTAGCCTAGGGCCAATCTTCCTCAGCAAAAAACAGGTGGATTGGCATCAGATGTTAGCTCAGGGCTGATCTTCCTCACACACACACACAAAAGAATTATATTTCACTCAGGGAAGGCAGCGTCTTTTCTGTACATTATAAACCATGCCCAATTACCCCCAAAGTAGGTTAAGCATGTTTAGGGTATAAGCAAAGCAGGAGCCCAAAGAAAAAGAAAAAAATTAAAAAGAATTTAATATTTCAAAAAAATGAATTGAAGTAGGAGAAAATTCAAAACTTGATTGAATTCCTTAAACTTATGGTTATTAATTTTTTAACTGAGTGTTGAGATTGGGGTGGCTCATCATACTTTTTAATGCTTAGTGCCTCAAAAGATCTTCTAAATCTAGCACTGACTGTGTATTATTCTGTGTTGTCTACTTCGGAAGAAGAGGTGAGTTACTAGCAAGAATATCTCACTAACACGAATAATATATATATTTCTAAACAGCATGTTCTTCATATAATGTGCCGTGGTGAAAAAAACCCCTTGGTTTCCCATAATTGTATCTAACAGAGAAGGGAAATTCACCTCTGTGGACTGTGTATTTCCTGTAATCTGGTTGGACTGAAAAGCTGAATTACTATTAGTTTTATCTTCCCTAGAGATAAAACTTTCCGGTCTGTAGACTATACTTTTTCATATAATCTCCTTCGGGAAAGTGAATCAGTTGGGAAAGCATTTGGCTGCATATTAAATACCCAACTATGGTGGATGGTCCAAAAGAGGTTAATTTTTTTTTTTAATCACTTAGCACGGCGTCCAGGGTGGGAAGTCCAGGGCTGGTGTAGTAACTCAAAAACCAAGCTCCTTCTTTCTTCTAGTCATGCCACTCTTATAATGTGGTTAGCATCTTTACACTTGCTCCTCATGGTTACAAGATGGCTGCTGCATCATCAGGCTCACAACTATGTTTCAAGATGGAAGAAGTACAAAGGACAAAAAAACATTTTTCAAGTGAGTCTGTTCTTTTTAATTAGGAAAACAGCAGTGTTCCTGGAAGCTCCACCTGTATGCCTTCCACTTTTATCTCTTAGGCCAGAACTGTGTCATATGGTCAGCTGTAGCTGCAGGAGAACTTGAGAAATCTGGGCACAGGGCCACCTTGAATAAAAATTTGGTTTGGTGAGTAAGGCAGATGAGGAGAATGGATATTTCAAGGGCAACTTGTAGTGTTTGCCCTGATATCCTTGCTAAAATGGTGATCAATGGATCTGAAATTCGTGTATGTAGTTCTGGCCCCCTTAGAGATAGTGTACGGAAAAAAGAGAAGATCTAGACAAGGACAATTGAAATGATGGAAAGGGAAGAGGAATGGTCTGCTGTAGCCTGCAAAGGGCATTGTTTTTGAAGTTCAAAGTTCTGGTCTTCTGGCCTGATTCTTTAACTTACAACCTGTGATATTGGGTTGAGTGAATTTTCCTAAGCATGTTTTCCTTGTCTGTAAAATGAGCACAGAGCATTAGAAAGAAGAGGAGAAATGGATACTGGGTAAACAATGGTAAATAGTACTAGTAGTTGCATCTCACATAGAAAACCTACTGACATCTTTGCAGCATACACTTCGTGCAATCTTTTTTGGTGGGGTGGTAGTGGGAGTTAAACATGATTTACCAGGAGTTTCTGTTTCCCAAAGGGAAGTAACATTTATCTCTGTAGAGTGTGTACTTTGGGTAATCTGGGGGAAGAAAGATGATTTTCCCGCAGTTTTTTCTCTCATACAATGTACAATCTATGTAGAGTAACTACTTCATGTAACTTATTGGAACATAAACTGTTACCAGCTCATATCTCCTATGACTCTGACGATGCTGAATTTGAAACTCTTCCTCTCATATTGCTGATTTTCCTCAAAAATTTCATGATTTTTAGTGGTCTATTTCTATTTAGAGATGATAATCTAGGTGGATCAGTATCAGTAATGAAAGTGGAGGTCCTTAGCTCCAGAAAGAATTCTGATTCTGCTGGTTCATTCAGTCATCCACCAAAAATCTATTGAGTGCCTACTGTATGTCAGCCACTGTTCTAGGTGTGGTTATAGTGTGAATAAGAGAGAGAAGGTCCCTGCCTTCATAAAGCTTACATTCTACTAAGGGAGACAGGAGTTGTGTAGACTGAGGTGATAGATGGGAATACGCCAGCTAGATGGTCCTTCCTTTCACATGTGCAGAGAGCTTGTTTTTTGTATTTAATCTATGACATTTGCATTTTTCAGTTTCTCAAAAATGCAAATAATCTTGTCTTTATCCTTGTATCTGATTAATGGATTCAACAAGTGCTTATTGAATACTTTCTCTGCCAGACACTGTGCTAAACACTGGGATATAGTGATAAACAATAGCTCCCTGTAATTGGGGAGAGTGGTATAGAGATGAATTGGGTCCCTCATAGTTACCCTTGGGTGGAATGTTACCTGTGTATATCTCCCTAATAATGTATAAAAGTGGACACGTGTGTATATAGGAGGCCGCTGAATAGGAGGCCAGCTAGAGCTGAACTACTCATAAGGAGCGATAACAGAGTGTAGGCAACAGCCACAGAGTCAAGTAAGGTTTGGCACCGGATTTTGAAGAACCAGTATGACTTGAACAGATAAGGTTGGGGAGAGTAGGTGGAGGGGAGGGAGACTATCCCAAAGGGGCAAATCCTGCAAAATAGATCCAGGGTCAGAGACTTCAGGGGGCCAATGGGAATTCAGTTATGCTAGAGGAGAATGTGTATGATAGCAGAATAAGACATATTGTTGGTTGAGGTCAGTGTATGGGGGCCTAGATTGAGAATTTGTCCATTATTCTAAGTAAATAGTGGATCATTCAAGGTTTTTAATCAGGGGCTATTTTTAGCAGATGGAATATACCAGGCCTTGCCAAGATGGCCCATTCTGACTTCTACCCAGCACTCTTTCCAAACCTAACGCATTCATCTACTGTTTTCCTGAGGGATGAGAGAGTCACTGTGTTCCGGGCCAACGTAGTCTTTAACGGGACATCAGGAACGCAGTTGGGTTTAGAGGGAAACCAGGCCGGCACGCCGCCTTTGAGGCCTCCGTCGACATGCTCCTCCCGCTTCCTAGAGAAGAGAGGAGGGATGCGCGAGACAGGGGCGCGGGGCCGCTGGTGACGCACTACCGGCCGCGCCACTGCTCTTCCGGCCTCGGCGGGTAAGCCGTGCCTTGGGCGTCCGTGCACTTCTGGGATCGCAGTCGCCGCCCCGCGGGCAGCCCCGGAGCTCACGGTGAGCGGGCGGGGTCCCGGGGAGGGGAAAGGAGGCGCTCCAGGCGCGCCTCGGCGGGCAGCGGGTCGGAAGCTTACAGAGGAAGCCTGCCCGGGCCTCGCTCTCCACCCGACTGCTGCCTGCGCGTGCGGCCCGGAGCTGCCGGCGGCCGCAGCACTGCACTCACCAGGGCCCGGCGCAAGGCCGGGCACGGAGCACACGCCTGAGAAGACGGTGGAGTGAATGATGATTGAGTGATGGATAAATGGTCAAGAGCTAGGACCGGTGTTCGGAAATGAAATCCCGGGTCTCAGAGTTCTCGCTCTGGTTACCAGCTACTTCTCTCAATCGGTCTTGCGGCCTGGAAACTTTTTTAGGGACCGTCGTAATAGGAGACGGCACATAGTGTAAAGCGCCCTGGGTGGGGAGTCTCCAGACCAGGGTTATAATTCCCGAGGATACGGAGGCTGTTTGTTGATCTCTAAAGATGGACTGTCTAGTAGTCCCTGCCTTTCTTTCTTTACAAGGCTCATTTGACAGCGTGTGTGTGGTAGCGCGTATGCAAACGTTAATACTTTATAACAAAATGTTACTATCCGTTACTTGCCAGCTACTACACAGAATTCAGGGACGAGGCTACAGAATGAGTGACGTTGGAACCTGCCAAATGGGAAAATGCTTCCTAGTGCTGGATGATGTATAAATGAGCAGGTTCTTGTGATCATATTTTAAACTACATTTATTTAGTGCTTAACATGTACCATGCACTGTTCGAAGCAGTGGTGCTAATTTATTTAACCTTCACAACAACGTATTTGTCGTTTTTAACGAGGAAATTCAGGTACGGAGGGAATAAATGATTTGTCCAAGGACACATTGCTGCTAAGTGACCCAAAGCTGTGGAAGAGATAGATCTAGTGTGCCGCTGCAGCCTGGGTGAGTATGTTACTTTTGGCCGACCGACAAATCCAAGAAGGGCTTCAGAGAGGAGTACAATTAAGTGTGATCTTATTGAAGGAATTGTGATTTCAAATTCTTGAAAAACCTCCCCTGGCTTGCCCAGAATCCTTCAGCTAATTATTGAGGGGTAATGAGGTGGTAGCAGGGAGAAAGCTTACAAGGTATGAGGGGGAGCCAGCTCTCTATTGCCTTTAACAGGATGAAGCTATTAAAAGCTTCTTTCCTTTTATCCTTCACTGTAGTACCCATTTCCCCCCAAATCTAGATTTAGACCAATCTTTTTAGCATCTTTAAATCACTGACAGTCAGATTATTCCACACTAGGCTTTTGTGAAAGCGCCTGTACATTCCTTTCTGGGAAACTTGTAGATGAGAGGCTCAACAGACTGTGGCCCAGGAGCCAAATTTAGTCGACCACCTGAAACACAACCAAGCTCATTCATTTATATGTGGTCTAGTTCTGTTTTCAAACTATAAAGGCAAAGTTGAATATTTGTGACAGAGAGAGAGACCATATAGTCCGTTTAGCCCACAAAGCGTAAAATATTTACTTTCTAGCCCTTTGCAGGAAAAGTTTGCAGCTTGACATGAACAAACTGGTGACAGCGCAGATGATCCACGGTTGGAGGAGAGCGGTTGTCACCAAGATGTATTTTCTTCTCCGTAGATTTTCCTATCAAATATAATGATAATGCCTAACCCCTGTTGAGTGCCTACCATGTGGCAGATGTCTTTATAAATGCTTTACATGAATTAACTCATTTTGTCAAGGATTCATAGAATGTTAGAGCTGGAAGGACTCGTGGATATTATCTAATTTGTGACCTTTTTCTGATAAATAGCCTGTCATGTAGGCCCACTGACATGAGCTATGACAGAGCAGTTTCCAGACTCCCAGTCCAATCCTCTTTAGTCTTATTCTGAACGGAAGGCCAATGCCATATCCATTGGATCTGGCATTTTTTGTTTTTGTTTCTGTCTTTTGGGGTGTTGAAACCTGTAAGTGAGATCTGTCATTTTTGAAATAACTTTCTGTGACTATAAAAGTAATATATGTTTATTGTAGGGAAAGTAAAATGTATAGAAGAGTATAAAGGACAAAGTAAAGTAACCCATTAAATGACCCAGAGATCAGTGTGTTAACATTTTGGTGGGCTTTCCTCTGTCCTGTCTGTGTCTTTGTGTTTTGTATATATCTGTGTATTCATAAAAATTTCTGTTTATTGAATGCCTACTTAGTGCTGATATATGTGTGCATATTTTTTGTTTTAGTGTTTTGTGTCCTCCTCTTTTAACATACTGTATTTTCTCATGAATATTCTTTGAAAACATGATTTTTAGTAGTTTCATAATCTATCATATTGATATGTCAACAATATTTACCTGTGTTTTAGCAACTATAGTAACAATGTGATCTTTGTACATAAATCTCTGATTATATTTTTTTGACTTTTTTCTCTGATTACAGAAGTTATTTATTCCTACAGGAAAACTTCCAACATTACAAAAAGATAGGCCTTAAGGCAAAAGTTTACTGTAATCTTATTTCTCAGAGATGATCATGGTTAACAATTTGATATATACTTTTAGAGATTTAAGTTAGTTTTTAAAAAATAAAGCAAAATATAGGTAATAGAGGAAATTTGAGAACTAGAGGGGAAAATCATTCATGATTCACCATATCACTGTAGTGATTGATGATTAATTTTCCTTCTTGATCTTATTCATATGCATATTTTAACATACATATATGATGTTATGCTGTAGTTGAAATTTTATCCTGCACTTTTTTCCATTTACATATAGTAGAACTATTTTCAGGTGGTCACATATTTTTATTTTTTATTTTTATATTTATTTATTTATTTGCTGAGGAAGATTCGCCCTAAGCTAGCATCTGTCGCCATTCTTAGTCTTTTTGCTTGAGAAAGATTGGCCCTGAGCTAACATCTATGGCCAGTCTTCCTCTATTTTGCATGTGGGTCGCTGGCTTGGTGAGTGTTGTGGGTCCATGCCTGGGAACTGAACCCTGGGGCCACTGAAGCGGAGCGTGCCAAACTTAACCCTTAGGCAACAGGCCAGCCCCACAAATTTTTATTTTTAATTATCTCAATGTCTATATAATTTCCACCAAGTGGAAGTACCTTAATTTGCTAAGCCTCAGTGTCCATCAATAGAAAAATTGTGTTTTCCAACAACATTGCAGGGGATTTTTTTTACAGGTAACAATAGAATTCAGCTTTTTTCCTCTTTGGGAAGTTACTTCTCTATGAAAAAGTTTTAATAGTAGAATTAGTAGGTCAAAGAATGTAGGCATTTTTATGACCTACTAATGGTTTTGAGGATCTTCTGAGATACATCGCAAGTGTTGTATATACATAATGAGTATTCTCTTCTGAGTTCCTGTACCCACAAGATGGTCATCCTGGTATTCCAATTGCAACTCAACCTACACCTTTAAGACCTGATATATATTGCAAAATTACCTCTAGAAAGATGGTACCAGTTTACATTCCCACCGGTGGCATGTGAGAAGCTTTCTTTCCCTGCATCTTTGCCACTCTTGAGTTTCAACATTAAAAAGAAAATTTCTAATTTGATATAAAAATTTATTTTTCATTCTTTTAGTTTCCACTTCTTTGATTACCACCAAGATGGAACTTTGTTTTGATATGTTTATTGGCCTTTCGTTATTCTTGGTGTATTTGTTGTGCTTCCCGTTTTTCTATCAGTTCATCTTTTTTCCTTATTCATTAATGGGTCTGTCTGCTCCTTGATGTGTAAACCAAAAATACTTTTCCTAGATTGTTTGTCTTCGAATTTTATTTGTATTTTGGATGTAGAAACTATTGCTTTTCTGTGGCCAAATTTATCCAGTTCTGTCCTTTGTAGTTTGTGCTTTTTTGTAAAATGCTTAGGAAAGTCTTTCCTAACCTTAAAATCAATCATTTGTCAATATTTTATTATGTGGTTTCATTTTTTTATATTTAAACCTTTAATCAGTTTAGGTTTATGTTGGTATATGGTGTGAGGTAGGAATCTTACCAAGTGTTCTTTCCAGGTATTTAAACAACAATTCCAACATAATTTATGAATAATCAAATTTTTATGATTAAAAATGCAAATTTTATTATATATTAAATTCTTTTATTTATTTCTCTCTCTTAGGGGATTAGGAATCTCTAAAATCAAAACCCAGAGTTAAACTTACTTTGAAATGTGTAAACTCACTGTTGAGGTTTTCCTAGCCACACTCCTGTGATGATTTTATCTGTTATTCCCAGGATTTCAGTTACTCTCTTTATGACAAAAACTCTAAGTATAAGTTTTCAGCCCCTACCTCTCTCCTCCATTCCAGATACTTATGCCTACTTTCTTTTTTTTTTTTGTGAGGAAGATCAGCCCTGAGCTAACACCCGTGCCAATCCTTCTCTTTTTTGCTGAGGAACACTGGCCCTGGGCTAACATCTGTGCCTATCTTCCTCCACTTTATGTGCGACGCCGCCACAGCATGGCCTGACAAGCGGTGTGTTGGTGCGTGCCTAGGATCCGAACCCAGGCCACCAGCAGCAGAGTGCATGCACTTAACCGCTACGCCATGGGGCTGGCCCCCTATGCCTACTTTCTATGTGGATATTTCAAAACTAAATGTGTCTTCTTCCTCCCCAAACCAGTGTTCCCACACTCACTAAAGGTCACTGTCATCACTTAAGCTGAAAACTGGCAAATTATCCTTGACTTCTCCCTCTCCCTCACACCTACCGCAATATTCATCCAATCCTGTGGATTTGGTCTCTTAGGTGGTCCAGTCTCCTTACTGGACTGCTGAAACAACCTCCCAAAGGGTCTTCCACCCTATACTTTGCCTCCCTACCTTCTACCCCTTATACAGACTTTTTCTCTATGCAATGGGCAAAAGGATGTGTTGTTTTTTTTAAACAGCAGATCTAATCATGTCACATTTTTTTTTCAAACCTTTTCAAACCCCTTTTATGGCTTTCTGCTCACTTCACACTCCCTAAAATGGTTTGCAGGGTTGTATTTGATCTGGCCTTTGCTTGCCTCAAGTTTACTTTATTTCTGGTGCTTAATACTTTGTTTTACTGAATCTCTTTCATTTTTCCAAAGTACTGGGCTTGATTTCTTTTGTATAGTCTGTTTCATCTCTGTGATATATTCTTTTCCCTCCTTATCTAGTTCCCATATATCTCTTCTTCAGAGAAGCTTTCTTTCACAGATGAGATTAGATCCCCCTGCTCTACATTCCATAGCACCCCATATTTCCACTTTTGTAATTTGTGTATTCGCAACTACTGGTTTCATTCTTTGTCTAGCTGTGATGTAAGCTCTGGGCAGGTGGGAGCATATCTGACTTTTTCTCTACTGTCTACCTCTGATTATACCCAAACCCAAACTGTACTTCATGAGTCTCTGTAGGATTATGTGGTGGGTCCCCTCTATGCCCCTCCTATGGAAGAGGATTAGGAAATCCCAGATAGGATCCTCTTAAACCTTTAAAACTCAACACAGAGGCACAGACCTTGATGAGAAGCCCTCAGGACCAGCCTTATTATGTACTTCAGCAGACTCTCCTATTCTTTCATGCCTTCTGAGCTCTTGATTATGGTAAAACCATCTCTCTGTCTTCTTTTTTTCCTTGAAATAATGCTGCCATTTCTCCTTCTCACTTCAGGGTAATATGGAGAGACATTTTTGGATGAACAGTTGTGATTTTGAATTCCAAACACCAGAAACTCTGTACTATTTTTGCAAATCTTTTGTAAGTCAAAAATTATTTCACAAAGTGTTTTTTTTTAAACTGCAGACTACAATGTTATATTGAGTTGTGCCTGAAGAAAAACTGTTCAATTGATATGACATCTAGAAAAAAGAGCAGTCAGTGTATCTCTAGGCTGTATCAAATAGAGTTTCGTGACTGCTCTGCAGCTCCTTGGCATATAGTGGAGGTGGGTGGATCAGACTTGTTGTGAGGCCATTTCCCCATGCAACTTTTGACTATAGTCGTTGGCTGTTCCTATAGATGATTGTTTGATGGACAGATACTAATTGACATAAATATTCTTGTCTATTTCCTAGTTATCTTTGTCATTATAAATAACATTCTGATTTACTCATTAAGCACTTGAGTGTTTGCTAGTATGTCAGTCTGAGTGGCTGTCACTTTTTGGACAGCTGACAAATGTTGTGAACCTAGAAGGCTGGAAGCCAACCTTGATTCTTGCTGATGTAGTCACATTGCTATCCTGACAGGTTTTCTGTGAGTTGTTAGTTAGTAGCCCTAGGCAACAGCTCTTTCTCATTTTTCTGTTTACTGGGATAGTGATATCCCCTCCCCCACCTTTTTCTCCCCTGTGAGCAGGGCTCCCAGTTTTCCAACCTTGAAGTGTTTTACAATCAAAGCAAAGAGAAGATTTGTGGATGTTGAATATGCAAGCAGGTGAAGAGAGAGAGATTGGAAGAGAGATTTGTCCAGGTGAGTGAGCAAGGGACAACCAGTGGGAGAAACAGCAGCGCTTTGGGAATTTTACAAGAGAAACTGAATAAAGCTCAGGAGATAAAATTACCTTCTCTTTTAGGGGTGTTGGGGGTGGACATGGGTGAGCATGTCTTGGGGCCAACTTTTCACCCATACTCATTTTATCTCTCTCATTTCCAGCATTTGCCCTTTTACATTCTCCCACTATCCGTTCTTTGAATATAAACCATCCATGTTTCCTGTCTTGCCCTAATCGTTAGCCTGTTTTTTTATTGTTTTCCCTTTGTCTCCATTGTCTCTGGTTCTCTCACGCCCTGGGTGTCTGCAGCTGCCCTTTCCATGGGGTTTCTCATTAATGGTGATCACCTTACCCTGGTGCAGATCTCTTCCACTCCTTGCAACTTTGAATTACTTGCCCCACTTGCTTTTATTGGTCCTTACTCAGTGGCCGTTACTGAGACCTGTCAAAGTTCGGTCCCAGAACATCAGGGGCCTCCACTCTGCCGTGCACAAGAAATACTCATTCTGATGGTTTCTTTCAGGTTGGGTGAACAAGCCTGCTTCAGAGCAGGATGTCTCTGTAATTGCTTCACCAGGGATGGTAGCAAAGAGACTCCAAGAGGATGAATACCAGGATTCTACATTTGAAGAAAAATATGCATGTGATAGCATGAAGGGAAACCCTCCCAGAGAGGTTCCTGGGCCACTCCTTTTCCAGGAAAGAGGTTTTGGAGGAATAACTTTCATCCACAAGGAAGTACCTCCTGAAATGACTGGCCAAGAATATCATTTTGAGAAAAGCTTGCTTTTGACCTCAAGCCTTGTTACACATCTCAGGGTTTCTACAGAAGAAAGCCTACATCAGTGGGAGACAAGTAGCTTACGCACCAATGAGATTTCAGACCAAAGTAAGTGTCCAACCCCCTCCACACAGAAAAAGTCTTGGCAGTGTAACGAATGTGGAAAAACTTTTACTCAGAGCTCATCCCTTACCCAGCATCAGAGAACTCATACTGGAGAGAGACCCTATGCATGTAAGGAATGTGGGAAAGCCTTTAGTCGTAGTTCATTCCTTGTTCAACATCAGAGAATTCACAGTGGAGTGAAACCATATGGATGTGAGCAATGTGGGAAAACATTTCGATGTCGATCATTTCTTACTCAGCATCACAGAATCCACACTGGAGAGAAACCTTATAAATGTAATGAATGTGGGAGTTCTTTCCGCAATCATTCACATCTCACTGAACATCAGAGGATTCACACTGGAGAGAAACCTTATAAATGTAATAGATGTGGGAAGGCATTCAATCAGAACACTCACCTCATTCATCATCAGAGAATTCACACTGGTGAGAAACCTTATTTATGCAATGAATGTGGCTCTTCTTTTCGCAAACACTCAAATCTTACACAACATCAGAGAATCCACACTGGGGAAAAACCCCATAAATGTGATGAATGTGGGAAAACTTTCCAAACAAAGGCAAACCTCTCTCAGCATCAGAGAATTCATACTGGAGAAAAACCCTATAAATGTAAGGAATGTGGCAAAGCTTTTTGTCAGAGTCCTTCCCTTATTAAACACCAGCGAATTCATACTGGAGAAAAACCCTATAAATGTAAGGAATGTGGCAAAGCTTTTACTCAGAGCACCCCCCTCACTAAGCATCAGAGAATTCATACAGGGGAGAGACCCTACAAATGCAATGAATGTGGTAAAGCCTTCATTCAGAGCATTTGCCTTATTCGGCATCAGAGAAGTCACACTGGAGAAAAACCCTATAAATGCAGTGAATGTGGCAAGGGCTTTAATCAGAATACCTGCCTCACTCAGCATATGAGAATTCATACTGGAGAGAAGCCCTATAAATGTAAAGAGTGTGGGAAAGCCTTTGCTCACAGCTCATCTCTTACTGAACATCATAGAACTCACACTGGTGAGAAGCTCTATAAATGTAGTGAGTGTGAGAAAACCTTCCGCAAGTATGCACACCTTAGTGAACATTACAGGATTCACACTGGTGAGAAGCCTTATGAATGCATTGAATGTGGAAAATTCTTCAGACATAGTTCAGTCCTTTTCAGACATCAGAAACTTCACAGTGGTGAATAAACCTGGCATTTAGGTTATGACAGTTTCTCTAGAAAGAGTGACTAGGAATTTGGCTGGCGGGAGAGGAGCAGGTAGAGTTCCTGGAGGGAAGGATGAAGAAGCCTTGGCCACTGCACTCTGAAGAGTATTTCCAGAAACGGAGGTGGGAGCTTGGAGAATGCAGAGCCTACTCCAGGTGGGCATATGGGAATATAGAGTAGGAAAGAAGTTCCTGCTTTTCACATAAATCCTTGCTGCTTGCCACTCTTCTCTCCCCATGCGACTCATACCTTGAGGTGCCATTTGTTAAGTTAGCGCTTGTGTTTTCCTCACTACACCCCTGCCCCACTTTCTCAACTTGTCATGTATGTTCACTGGCCAGTAGGCTGAGGTGCTTTCCAAACACTGTCATTGTAAAAGTGGCAGCAGTTCTGAGGTAGTGCTAAGTAGCCTCCAGGTGTCTGAGGCAGCTCTGACCATGCTACTGTGGGGGAGGCTGCCCATCTGTCGAAGTGGTCCTATGAAGCACAAACGAGTGAAAAACAAAAGAATACATTCATTCAACCAATGAGGGGATATGTGGCAAGAACTTGGCTGATTTCTACAGATACCTTGGTGAAGAAGGCTTTTATCATGTGAGGGAAGTCTTTCCTGACCCTTTCAAGCTGGAGGGTGACTTGAGGCTAAGAAGGTAGTAGGAGGTCAAGAGAGACTTCTCGAATGATGCCAGTTTGTGGGAATGGAGTCAGATTTGCTTAGACGGCCATGGAGAGGAAGGCCCAACCACTGTCCTAGAGGCATATTGGCTTACCCAGGTGGGAAATGGTCTGTGCTAGGCTGCTGGTGGTAAGAGGCCTCAGAGCAGGAGGCCTGTATGTGACTGAGCAAGCCACATATCCCTGCCCTGGACTAAGGGGTACACCTATCTCTTTTAAGTTTGGCTGGGCCACTGGTTTGCAGGGACCAGGGGAGAGGGACCCACAAGGTTAACAGTGTCCAAACAAAGTGAGACTTAGTTTGTTGGCCTTTAGGGAAGAGAAAGCATTAGTGATGAAGAAAGACAGCCATTTAGGTTGGCTGGAGTTGGGGGCTGCTGGACCAGTCCTTAAGAGAGTGTTGATCACTGTATTGGGGAAGGCTAGGTTTCATGTAGTTATGCTGTTACTGGCTATAACCATAGATTCGTTAGATCTCATGTGTTTCTGTTTTTATTGGGACTGTCTTATTCCTGGATATTTACCCTTCCCTGCAGGATAGGAGTATCTAGGGAAACATCTCTCATGGGATGAATTTGGAAAAAGTTCTGGAGAGAATTACCTCTTTTTCAAATCCCTGAAAATCAAGACAGCATGGTTTGCCACTGACTTTGATGGTATTTTATTCTTTTGAGAGAAAGGGCATGTTTTTCCCTTTGTTCCTCCACTCCTTTTCATGTTCTTAACTGCTACCCAGAGATTCAGCTGTAGAAGATTAAGTGAGGATAGCCTTTGATATTTGAAATAGTTTTTATACTCTGAAGCTTACACAGTTTTTGAAAGATGACTATTAAAACGACGAAAGTAAGTTGATTCTGGAATGGTTGGTTATTTGGAACTCAGCATTGATTTTTTTTCCAGAGCAATTGTCTTGTCAGCATTGTTTTTGGCCACTAATTACTATTAATGGGAATGTGGCAGAAATATCACATACACTTTGCCCTCTCCAGCTATGAAGATTATGTTCTCAAAACTTGGCATGGGCATTTCATAATTGAGTAAATTAATACCTTATGGGCAAAAATAACCCTAGAAAACTTTATATTTTATGCTCATGAAAAAATATATATATAGTCTACTAAAAGCAAATGTCAGTGTATTTATACTTTCCAACTGAAAAATACTATAGAGTTCACTGCTAGCACACAGTAAATGTTCAATAAATAAATATTTATTTGTTGAATTAATATAATTTAATGAACGTTTGCTCACCAGAAACCATAGGAACTTCCTGATATGTGGGTAGGTATTTGGAATACACGCATATGTTGGAGATACTGCGGGATTGGTTCCAGACCACCGCAATAAAGCGAATATTGCAATAAAGTGAGTCACACGAATTTTTTGGTTTACCAGTGTGTATAAAAGTTATATTTACACTATACTGTAGTCTGTTAAATGTGCAATAGCATTATGTCTAAAAAATAATGTACGTACCTTAATTTAAAAATACTTTATTGCTAAAAAATGCTAACCATCATCTGAGCCATCAGCAAGTCATAATCTTCTTGCTGGTGGAGGATCTTGTGAAAAACACAAATCTGGGCCAACCCCAGTAGCCTAGTGGTTAAGTTTGGCACGCTCTGCTTCAGCAGCCTGGGTTCGGTTCCCAGGTGTGGACCTACACCACTAATCTGTCAGTGGCCATGCTGTGGTGGTGGCTCACATACAAAAAGAGGAAGATTGGCAACAGATGTTAGCTCAGGGCGAGTATTCCTCAGCAAAAACCTGAAAAACAATACAAAAAAAAACCTCACAAATCTGGAAGCACAATAAAGCGAAGCGCACTAAAACGAGGTATCCCTGTAATATACACTACTGTCTTTGGAGTCTTGAGTGGAGATTAGAGAGGATAGGGAGAGTTTTCTTGAGGAAGAAATGAGAAAACTTTAAGGGTGAAAGATGTCTAAGTTCTTGTTAGAAAGTTTTTCTAAAATGGAATGGACACAACTCTGAGTTTGTAATTGTCAGGCTAAGAGAGCCTGGTACCATTTTCACTTCCTGGGGAAACAGGAAGGAAAAGAACTCATCGTCTTTCCACGGCCCTTATCCCATGGTCTGACACTTACAAATATTTGTTCCTGATTTTCTCTCAGTTGCTGGCCCCCCATCTGCCTAGTCACTCCAGCTTGGCCCCAAACCTGCGAATTGCCCTCTTCCTCAATCTTTCCTCTTCCTCAGTCTTCATATCCAATCAACCACTATATCCTGTTGACACTATCTCCTACGTCTGGAAGCCATCTTCACTGTTATTGCTGTAGTCCAGCTCTGCGGTTTATTTCCTAGACTTTTTTTTATTTTTGTAACCAGTCTTCAAGTTTCTTGCCCTACTAGGCCACCTTTCACATTTCTTCTGAATAGTCTTTGCAAGACATAACTGTGGCAGCTCTGTTGTTTTCTCAGAATGAAGTCTTAGCCCCTTAAAGAGGTGTCAGAGGCCCCTCATCTGGCCCATGGCTACGTCACCATTCTCAGTTGCCATTTCCTGCCTTGCATGTTCTGTTCCATAGTGCAGATTCCTGTGATTCTGCATCATCACTGGAGTCTACTTTGGCACCTCTGCACATACTGTTCCTATTGCCTCAATTCCCTTTCTTGCTTCTGCTTGCCTAGAAAGCTCCCATTTGTCACTTATGAATGTGCTCAGGTATGTATAAAGCTATCTCTGACCTCACATATTTTTAAGTATTTCTGCATTTTCTGTATTACATTGTAATGGCTTGTTTACAAATCTTTCTCTTCCCACTGAACTGTCAGCTCCATCAGGGCAGGCGCCATGTGATATTTATTCATCTGTGTCCACAGTCTTTGGCACTTAGAATGTGCTCAGTAAATATTTGTTGAGCTCAACTAAAATATTGAGTCGGACAGTTCTCCATGCCAACCTACAGGTTGTGACTTAGGTCCACAGTTACCAGCAGAAGGGAGGTATAGTGAGTACATGAGTGTATCCATGAAGTGTTTGCCAGGAGCAAGAATTCTGAACCTTTCCCCAAGACACATAGTGTATGGTTGTATTAAGCCAACGATCCCATAAGAAAAGGTAACATTTTGTAGCAAATAAAAAAAAATATTGTCTTAGAAATTAGGCATTTAAATGTCCTATCACAGTTTAACAAAGTGCTTTCAGATATGTTGATGTCAGGCTCAACAGGAAGAGAGATGCATGCAGCTGTAGAAGCATAGCTATGTCAACTGGAATATCCATGAAATAAGATAGGCAGGAGCTGAGCAGAGATGCTGGCCTGGCAGGAGAGGAGTTGCGCTTAGAAATCCCAATGTGGAAGCACTTCCTGAGCTCATGGCTTTTCCTTGGGCTCTGGAATGAGAAAGGACTGGAATGTGTTGCTTATTCTCAGTGTGCTGAAATTAAATTTGTGCCTTCACAAGGACACGGGATGAGGCCACATCAAATCCTCAAAACAACGAAAGGGAAAACAGAAAGGTGGTTGGATTTGCCCAAAGTCGCACACTAGTAAGTGTCAGGTGAAATTGAAACTCCAGTGTCCTCTCTCTCTTTTCTTTCAGATTTCTCTTTATTGGTTGTACCTCTGCTCCATGATGCCTCATTACTTTTGTCTATTATAAGACACAAGTATATTGACCATTTATGGCTCCTACTTTGCTCTACTCCTGAGGACGGGAGGAACTTACTTAAGATCAAGAAGCTTTTTGGCCCTCAGAATCAGACCTTACTGTGTGTAAGTGAGGGTGAAAAATAAGTTGATGTTGCATTTTGACTTCGCCTTTCTTCCTACATAATGGAGAAATCTAGCCTTGACCCCAGGTGGTTTCAGTTTTACTCCCCTTTAGCTACTGGCCACAGCAGGGCTAAGGTCATTGTAGTTTTGTGGAATGTTTTTGGTGTCCATCCTTCCCATCCATTTTCCACCTGTCAGTGAAAGAAGCTCAGCCCAAATTGCGTTTAAGCACCAGTTTCCTGTTTCTAGTAACCTGCTCTGCCTGGGGTACCCCCTTCAGGGTTAGTTTCCACACAGCAGAGCCTGCTGACTTAGAGATTCTTTGAAGCCTTAAAAGTTAGAGGGAAAAATGATTAGGCCTAGGCTCTTTGGCCTATGGGACGTTAGGGCTAGGGAGGAGAACCTGCTACCTGATTCCAAAGAAGTGCTGAGAATGTGACACCTAGTAAAAAGTAAGGCAAGCTCACCATGATTGTTCCCTGGCATGTCAGGTGACAGTTCTACAAAGGGTCCACTTTTAGCTGAAGATGGTTAGCAATGGTCTCAGTCTGTGGCATCTCCACTCCTGATTTCAGCCTCCTAAAGGGACTCTATTTTGGGAAAACAGCCCATCTGGAAATTTGTGCAGATGACTTCTCTGCTGCATCTCATTTATTTATTGAAGTGTTTACTGAGTGCCTGCTACTGCACACTAGGGATATGATGATAAGCAGACAGCCCTATTTTTCTGAGCTTGCAGATAAGTAGGACTGCCTGGAAATGGATCAGGTGCCCTGCTGCCGTTGCCTTTATCCCTGGAATACCCCTGTGAGGATGAGCCCTAATGTGCAAGTATTTCCTGAATGAGGACCAGCATGACCTGAAGTTTTGCAAAACCGGGGCAGGGGCACTACCTTGAGTGTTGGAAAGGTCACGGAAGCCAGTGCAGAACAATGGGGACCGGGGCTGGGATTTGAGGAACATTATAGGACAAACATTTTTTAAGTATCAGAAGTGCTTGATAATTTACACGAATTAATCTCATTTAATCCTCACAAAAAAACCCTATAAAATTTGGTACCATTATTATCTCCGTTTTATAAGTGAGGAAACAGTCATAGAGAGGTCAAGTAATTAGCCCAAGTTCACACACTGAGGATCTGGGACTTAAACCCGAAGCAGAGCTCTTGTTCTTTTGGCCTACTGTTGAACAAAGATCTCGAAGAAGTAGGGTGTTTGGGGTTTCTGTGAGGAGGCCAATTTTCTGGCAGGTGAGACTGTAAGGAAGATTGAAGCCAGCTTTGTGAAAGCCTTGAGAAGACCTCCAAAGGACAGCGACATGGAAAAGAGTCTTTAGGAAGATAAATGTGATCGGGTTGGAGGATGAATTAACTCATAGTAAGAACTCCTTGTGGTCGGCCCCCCACTCTCACTTCCTTTCCTCTTCCTTATTCCGAGAAGGGGCATGACGAAATCGGTTTGCAGGCTGTTTTTGGAGCCGGGGCTCCTGGTCGGGGCACCAAAGCCCCCGACTCTGTGCCGGAGAGGAACCACCGAGATGAAGCCGCTCCCGCCTTCCTAGAGAGTAGAAAGCAGTGGTTATTTACTGTGGCGCGGATTGGTGACGTCACGCCAGCAGGGAGCGTCGGGACTTGTTCGGCGGCCTGACGCCCAAGTGTCGCGAGGTTCGTCGAAGCGGCGTAGTCGGGGGTGCCCTGGGGAGCAGTGTCTTCCCTGCCCGGCTGCGGCGGTTGCGCCCCGGCGCTTCTCTCGGTCCCGGGCTGGCCGAGCAAAGCGCCTCATCCTTCTAGGGGGCAGGGACCTTTGGCCAGCTCGCCCTGAAGAGGGAACGGAGAAGTCTGTTGAGAGCCCTGGTCTGGGAGTCGGGAGACCTGGGTTCCATTTGTGTGTACCTGAGCCAGCAAGTGAACTGTTGAGTACTTCCGTTTTCTGATTTCCAGAGCGAATATTATTCCACGCTTTGCCGCTTCACAGGGTTGTGCGGGTATGTGTGATAGTTATCTCCGTCCTTTGATTTTTCATTCTTTAATAGCAACAGAGTAGGTACTGTATGAAGACGTATAGACAATAATAATTTAATAGCAGGTACTATTTGTTACCAGCCGGTATTCTTCTAAATGCGTCCCGTATATTAACTCATTTATGCATCATCATAACCCTATGAAGTAGTTATTTCCATTTAACCTTTGAAAAAACTGAAGCACAAGAAGGTTAAATAACTTATCCAAGATCATTTAGCTAATAAATGGAACAAGGATTCAAACCCAGAGAGTGCTAGCCCCAGAACCCATGCTATGCTTGTCTTCAAGTTTAGTGGAGGAAGACAGAATGTAATAAGAGTATTAAAACTCAAGAGTGGTAAGTGGTACAGTAGAGACGTGTGAAATACTTTCCGAGTGTTGAGGAAGAAGTGCTTTGGAAACGTGAAGAGAAATTTTCCGCAAGGAACAGATATGGTGGTTCACATTTGACCTGAATTAAAATTTGACTAGAAGTTTGAAAATAGTTTGTTCATTGTCACATAAGACGTGCTAGTGGAGTGGGATGGATTAAACTGGAAACCCGGTCCCTGCCATTTAATACAGTGTTCTTTCCTTTCTATTCAGAGGGCTTCTTAAAACCTTTCCTCTTAGGAGGTGGCCCTAACATCTTCAGACAGACTCCGCCTGTCCTTTGTTGGAGATTCTGCTCACACAGAGGCAGTCTTAACCTCTGATTGTGGAAGAATAACTACTGGGGAGTTTTCCCTGCTGTTGCCTCAGCCCAGTCTCAACAAGAGGTGATCTCACTGCTTGACACATAGTAGCTGCTCAGTTAGTACTTTTCAAATAAATGAATTGCATAACCAGCATCAATAAAAGACACACTGGAAGGGCTTGATTTGAGGTTTTTGTTCTTTTCCCATCTGTTTTTAGAATTAATCACAGAACCTTAGTACTAGAGGAAGCATTTTAGATAACTATTTTTTCACTTTCATTTCACAGATAAAAAAAAAAATCACAGTTGAAATTGAGTGTCTTGCTTCAGGTCATTGAACAAATTAGTGGCAGAGCAGAGACTAGAATCCAGACCTCTTGACTCAGTCCAGTGGTCATCTCACTGCCCTCTACTGTAGCCCACAGTCTTTGACTTTTGAAGTCAGTGTCTTCTTCATTAGGTTTGGAGTTGGGGGGTGGGCTTGAACCTTATCTCCTGTGGAGGAAATTTTACCCCAGGATGCTTAGTTCTTAGGAACACCTGTCCTCTTTTTTTGTGCATTGTCACGTCTCTCTGAAGTCTACCCACTCACTGACTTTTTTGTCATTGGTGATACTCTTCTAAGGAGAACAACGATATTCTTTCCTTCAGACTTAAAGTAGTCGTTAGGCATAGGCTATTCCTGGGTTCCCCCAAATCAAGAGTATGAAGGAAGTAGGCTGACAATTTATGAGTGCTCTCTCTCCTTCCTTCATGCCCCAGATTCCTGCCCTTCCTCAAGAGAAGAGTCCCCAGAAGACAAAGCAGTGTCACTTATGTTCCTAACAGCTTGTCTCTGGGTAAGTGAAATCTAACTAGGGAGCCCAGGATGGGTTGCTCTGGGGGTGCTCATTCAGCAGTGGTGGTAGACCTGTAGTGGGACCCACCAGTGACCACTGTACCTAGACCCTGCAGACTGAAAACACAGAACCACTCAGAAGTGGGAGCATCTTACTCAAATCAGAGTGAGAGCAGCCTATTGTGGAAGAAGGCTGTGGAGTAACTGGTTATAGGACAGATCAGAGAGTGTACTAATTTCTTATCACAGGCACTGAAACTGTAGCAAGACTAGCTACCTGCTCTGCAGTCATCTGCTGAAACCTCGCACTGAACTGCTAAGTATGATGCCTTAATGGTGTAGTGGTTGGATCTGGGAAAACTAATAGTAAATTATTGGAAGACCCATTGCCAAGGTGATTGCTTCCTCAGAGAATATGCAAGGGGCTCCTGGCCCTGTTTGGAACAAGAGCCTAAGTAATCACAACTGCCATTGTTATTGGCCATCAGAAGGCATCTTGGAGCCTGGGTGTCTGTTAAACTCAGTAAGAACAGTACTGGGTAAACTGTATTTTTAGGTTATGGGAACTCTGTGAATAGATCATGACTATTTATGTCCTGAGGAATTCAGTCTAGTCTAATAGGTACACATAATATATGTATACATGGGTTTGTATATGTGTACATGTTGAAGAATGTTCATCAGAATACTGGTTTCTCTGGGTGGTAGGATTTCAAGTAATTTCATTTTTGCACTAACTGTTTTATAGAATGAGCATGCTTTCTTTCTATGATTAAAAAAACTTTTTATTTTGGGATAATACAAATAAAATAAAAGTGTGGTTAGCATTTTGGTTTTATGTTTCACTGTTTAAACCGCTTGGAGTTTATTTTTGTATATGGCATTCATACTGGAAGTTTATACAGCAGATAAAGATGGAGAGATTCAGGCAAAATAGTCAATGTATTTAACAACCAGTGTGGTACAGGACTGCCCAATCAGATCAGTCTCTGACTATAAACAGTTCGTGCAGATATACCAGTGTGTACCTGTTGACTCTCAACCCCAGTTGATCTGTATGTACCAACATGAAATGATCTTGAAGACGTGTTCATTAGTGAAGGAAAAAAAAAGCAAATTGCATAGCAGCACCTATAGAATGATTTTATTTATGGAAAGAGAATCAAATGCTATATGTGTACAGAAAAATATGTAGAAAAAAGAAGATTATACTCCAAACTTAATAATGATAATCTCTGGGAAGGGAATGGGTTTGTTTGGGTTGGGGGTGGATGATGGGTATAAAAATTACTGTTTTATCCATATTATCTAAATATTTTAAAGTGAGGATATATTGATGTGTAACTTGTATAATTAGAAAACTAAAATAAAAAGGAGCCTCAGCAAATAAGAATGTCAGTGTCTCCAGCGCCATCCAGGGAAGAGGTTGCTCTGATGTGTGGTAGCTGAATGTCTTCATTCTCTGATTCCATGTGCCTTTATTCAGGATGTCAGGGTTTCACAGTTTGGTGCCATTAAGATCATCTAAGTATTCCACTCTTTCTCCAATTCTTTGCTTCCCAAAGAATGTGCTGATGACAGTGTCTTCATTCCCATACTGTTTTTCTGTAGTGGAGAGAATGTGTTAACCAGCTGGACACTGAGCATAAAAGTTTTTCATTGTGAATTAGTAAAGTGACTTTCTGTTTTCTACATCATTCTCCTTGTGAATCTGATTAGTATATATCCGATTCTATATCCGATTAGTATATATCTGATTAGTATATATCTGAAGCATTTCTTTGGCTTCAGAGGTGAGGGCCAGGTCCTGGACCATGATGCTGTAGTGAAGTCACTGTCCAGTGGGACCTTCTTTTCCAAGGACCACCTCTGTCTTACTTTTCTGTAAACACAACAGTGGTATCTTATTTTCTTTCAGTAAGCAGGACTCGAGTTTTCAAATATAGAGATTCCCCAGTTGTACCTGGGGGAAGAGCTGTAGATGCTGAATGTTTTAGAGAGAAGGAGTAGTCCAAAGACACACCTGTCGAGGTGAGTGAATAAGGAAGGATTGGTGAGATGGACCTAGTAAAAGTTATAGCCTGGATCACGTTTGAAAACTGGAAAGAAAAACTCTTTAATTATCACTAGTCTGCCAAGATATTGCTTATAGGCAGCCTAAGGAAATATAATTACTTTTCACCTGTTTTTTGAGAAGTAGAGACTATAGGTAGGTAGTAATTTTCCCCAACACTTAATTTACCCAAGATAAGTATACTTACCCTTTCACATTCTCCTACTGTTGATCACTGTGGGTGATCCTGAATTTCCTGGATTAGTTTTTAGTATTTGAGTGTTTCAGAATCAATCACAATAAGGAATTTTACAGATTTCCCAAGACCTGTCACTACTTAATCTCTTTCTCACTATTACCTATTCTTATCTATTCCCCAGGTATTTGTGATCTCCTTTCTCTATTGTTGAGAAGAGGGTAAAAATCAGGATTCCACAATGCATGTCCCCTTTTCTGCATAGAAAACATTTTTCTTTGTGAATTTTTTTTCAGGCAAGACCAAGCCTGATGGCAAAGTGTTAAATGACTTGAGGAAGATGTGGAGGGTCAGAGAACCTGGTCATCAGGGATTTGCATTTGGAGAAGTTGAACCTGCATGCTGAACAAGGAAGAGGAATGATAGAGAGGACAACACGTGCACACATACACACGCACCTTTCCCAGGGGAACAGTGTTACTCTAACCATAATCGTCTTTGAGGAAGTACTTTGTAAGTATTGAATTTGAGAGAAAGTTTCCTCTAAGCCCGAACCTATTGGACAGACGCCCCTTTGTTGTGTTAAAAGCAGCATGAGTTCAAGCCAGATTTCATTGCAAATGAAACATCAGAGACTTAACGCACAGAAGAAACCTTCAAAGTGTGGCGAATGTGGAAAATTCTTCACTCAGAGATCATCTCTTACCCAGCATCAGAGGATTCACACGGGAGAGAAGCCCTACGTGTGTAGTGAATGTGGAACTTGTTTCCGTAAACAGTCAAATCTTACTCAACATCTGAGGATTCATACGGGAGAGAAACCTTATACATGTAACGAATGTGACAAAGCCTTTCAGACAAAAGCAATCCTTGTCCAGCATCTGAGAATTCATACTGGAGAAAAACCCTATAAATGCAACGAATGTGGCAAAGCCTTTTGTCAGAGTCCATCCCTTATTAAACACCTGCGAATTCATACCGGAGAGAAACCATATAAATGCTCTGAATGTGGCAAAGCCTTCAGTCAGAGCATATGCCTTACTCGTCATCAGAGAAGTCATTCTGGAGATAAACCTTATAAGTGCAAAGAGTGTGGGAAAGCCTTTAATCAGAGTGCATGCCTCATGCAGCATCAGAGAATCCATTCAGGAGAGAAACCCTACACATGTATGGAATGTGGAAAAGCCTTCACTCAGAACTCTTCCCTCATTGAACATGAGAGAACTCACACTGGAGAGAAACTTTACAAGTGTAGTGAGTGTGAAAAAACTTTCCGCAAGCAAGCACACCTTAGTGAACATTACAGAATTCATACTGGAGAAAAACCTTATGAATGTATTGAATGTGAGAAATCCTTTAGGCACAGTTCAGCGCTTGTTCGACATCAGAGGCTTCATGCTGGAGAATAAAACTTGGGACATAACCAGTGTGGAAACACTGGGTATGAAAAGCCATTTTTTTTCCTTCTAAATTCTTAGGAGTTTAAGATTCAGTCTTCAGCTGGCATGAATGTTTTGTATGTTGAGCAAGAGGCAATGTGTCCTAAAAGTTAAGAAAATAGACTCAGAACTAAATAGTCTTGAGTTTGATGCCTTCTCTGTCACTTAATAGGTGTGTGACCTTATCCTCTCTGAGCTTCAATTCCCCTCCCCCCAAAGAATAATGAGGACACTTACTAGGGTTCTCTAGAGAATAAAATGAGTATGTAATAAATAACTGCCATGAATTGTTTTTGAGATATAGATGTTCCAAAAGTTTATAAATCTGGCTATTGAAAACAGGCAGAGTTCAGCAATAGTTTTTTTTTTTTGGTTCTCATAATGTATTTTTTCTTAAGAACATTCTTGAAATTGGGTTGTGATTTCATGCTTAATCTACAGAAGGCTATTTAAACAATAATGTCTAGATTTAAATGATAACACAATTTAAGACCAGTTTATCCTTGAAAAAACTCACATTTAATCAGAGGAAAAAAAATTGGGATTTGAGTGGACATTGTGAAATGTACTTCTGGGTACTCTGAGGAGCTTGAGTTAGATTTGGATACCACCCATTGCATCTAATTTCACTTCAAGCTCTACACCTCTCTTTGCCATGAAAAGGGGAGCCTCGCTGACTAACTGAATCAAAACTCACATTGCAGGACTTTTATGTGTATTTGGGGGCTGATGGTGAGGACAAGGTACATGAGAATAGAGAGGAGTGGAAGATAGAGGAGAATGTAAGCATGTTTATGAGGATGTGGCTTGACTTGTTTTAAACTCTTAACGGAAGGAGAGAGTGGGAGACTTGAGTTCTCAGGTGCCTGCAGGTAGTACCACTGACCAGCAGCTAGCTGCCCTTCAAGGGAAGGTGAGAACAGTGTCGGGGATGTGTATGGGTCGGGGGTGCCTCACTTACAACAAACAATGGCTTCTTAAAGCTCTCAAGAAGCAAAGAAATCAAAGGATACTTTTGATGGTGCTTCCTGCAATGCTAACAAGCTGTTTAATGTAAACAAGCACATCTAACACTAACAGTACCTTTGTAGGAAGGTAGGATCTATATTCCACATTCAGAGTCAAGGAAAAAGAGAAGATACTTAGACTTGCTCAAAGTCAAACAGGTAATGTCAGAGTTGAATCTCAATGGAAATCCTGGTAGTACCAAACTCACATACAGGTAATTTTCCGTCATTAAGCCTTCCCATTAAATTGTGAGATGCCAAAATTGTGAAAACCATTAAAGAAAATAAAGGTTTATTTTTTCAACTTAAAGTAATGTGTGCTTATTGAAATACATTTATAAAATGAGAAGAGTGGAAAAAATCGAAATGACATGCTTTCACCATTCAAATATAGTTACTTTAGTATATTTATTCCAGCCTTTCTTCTGTTTAGCTTTTCTTTCTTCCCTTTAAAAAAAAATAACTGTGATCATTGTTCTATATACAGTACTATATCTTGCTTTTTGATTTAACATAAGGATTTAGCCACTCTATTATAGACTTTCTGTAAACTTCATTTTAATAGCTGCCTAACATTTTATTGACCTGTTCATAGTTTACTGATTTGTTTTCCTACTGTTTGATATTTAAGTTAAGGCCATTTTTTTCTTATAAGTCAGCTAGTCCACTTAGTGCAAAGCCTGGCATGTGGTATGTACTCCTGTTAGCTTTCTTTTTTTTTTTTTTGTGAGGAAGATCAGCCCTGAGCTAACATCCATGCTAATCCTCCTCTTTTTTGGCTGAGGAGACCGGCTCTGAGCTAACATCTATTGCCAATCCTCCTTCTTTTTTTTTTTCCCCAAAGCCCCAGTAGATAGTTGTACGTCATAGTTGCACATCCTTCTAGTTGCTGTATGTGGGACATGGCCTCAGCATGGACGGAGAAGCGGTGCGTCGGTGCGCGCCCAGGATCTGAACCCGGGCCGCCAGTAGCGGAGCGTGTGCACTTAACCGCTAAGCCACTGGGCTGGCCCTGCCTGTTAGCTATTAATTCAGCACTGAAACATCTTTGTATAGAAAGCTTTTTCATCATTTTAAATTATTGCCTTAGGATTTTCAGAGGATGTGAACTTTTTATCTTATTTTAAAATTTTCATTAATTTTTCTGACTAGATAATAGCTTATGGTTTAAAATTCTAAAAGTACAAAAAGCATAACAGTGAAAAACCTTCTTTCCAGCCACCCAGTTGTTCCCCCACTCCACCTTAGACACCAATATTGGAAGTTTTTTGTTTTCCTTCCAGAGATAGATGATTATAAATAAGTAAACATATGTTTCCCTCCTTCTTTAAAAATTGACTTTATTTTTTAGTAGTTTTAGGTTCACAGCAAGATTGAACAGAAAGTACATAGAGTTCCCATGTACCTCCTGCTCCCACATATGCACAACCTCCCCACTATCATCATCGTGCACCAAGAGATAAATTTGTTATAGTCCATGAACTTACATAGTCACACCACTATCACTCAAAGCCCATAGTTTACATTAGGGTTAACTAGCAGAGTTGTGCATTCTGTGGGTTTTGACAAATGTATGATGACATGTATCCACCATTATAGTATCATACAGAGTCATTTCACTGCCCTAAAAATCCTCTGTGCTCTGCCTATTCATCCCTCTTTCCTCCTAACCCCTGGCAACCACTGATCTTTTTACTGTCTCCATAATTTTGCCTTTTCCAGAATGTCATATAGTTGGAATTGTATAGTATGTAGCCTTTTTGATTTGGCTTCTTTCACTTCGTAATATGCATTTAAGTTTCTCTGTGTCTTTTCATGGCTTGATAGTACATTTCTTTTTAGTGCTGAATGGTATTCCATCGTCTGGATGTACCACAGCTTATTTATCCATTCACCTACTGAAGGACATCTTGATTGCTTCCAAGTTTTGTCAATTATAGATATAGCTGCTGTAAACAACTATGTTCAGGTTTTTGTGTGGACATAAGTTTTCAACTCTTGGGTAAATACCAAGGAGGGCAATTGGATCACATGGTAAGAGTATGTTTAGTTTTGTAAGAAAGCACCAAACTATCTTCCAAAGCAGCTGTGCCGTTTTGCATTCTCACCAGCAATAAATGAGAGTTCCTGTAGCTCCACACCCTTGTTAGCATTTGGTGTTATCAGTGTTCTGGATTTTAGCTATTTTTTTTTTTTTTTGTGAGGAAGATCAGCCCTGAGCTAACATCCATGCCAATCCTCCTCTTTTTCTGAGGAAGACCAGCCCTGAGCTAACATCTATTGCCAATCCTGCTCCTTTTTTTCCCTTTTTCTCCCCAAAGCCCCAGTAGATAGGTGTCTGTCATAGTTGCACATCCTTCTAGTTGCTGTATGTGGGACATGGCCTCAGCATGGCCAGACAAGCAGTGCGTCGGTGAGCACCCGGGATCCGAACCCCAGGCCGCCAGTAGCAGAGCGTGTGCACTTAACCACTAAGCCACGGGGCCGGCCCAGTGATGATCTTAAAGGGTCCCTTCTATCCCAGCTCTGGGATCATTTATGCCTAAATCTTGTTAAACCTGGGGCTGCCATTAGCCTAGAATGATTGTGGGGCCAATGGGGAGGATTTCTAACCTCAGGCCTGGACAGATGCCTTCTGTCTAGCCTTTCTCCTGCCTGAAAGACTTCATGCATGACTCGGGAGAAGCAGTAGGTTGGTGAGAGTAGATGTTAGTCAAAAGACTGTTTCCATAGCAGGAGGCTCCAGAAAGCAAAAAACTCTGGAAAAGACAGGGCCCAGGACTGGGAAAAAGGCCGAAGAAATGGAAGTTTGAAAATTTGGAAGACATATGTCTTGCTTCCCAGTTTGACAGTTTGGCCCTGGTTATCTTGAGCCATGCAGCCAGAGATGATTGTGTGTTGCACTGTTCTGTGTCAAATGTAAGAACACCTTTGACCTTTACATTGGGTGGGAGACTCCCTCATGAGCTGCAGGACTCCTAATGGTTTTCTTTTTTAAATCCCCCTTTACCCCAATAGTACCTCAAACTGCACTGTCCAATACAGTAGCCACTACTCATATGTGGCTATTTAAATTTAAATGAATTACAACTTAGTAGAAGGAAAAATTAAGTTCCTCAGTTGCTCTATCCACATTTCAAGTGCTCAATGGCCACATATGGCTAGGGACCACAAAGCTATAAAACACTGCCATCATTGTGGAATACACTATCAGACAGTGAGGGCCTTGATGTTTGGCTTCCCCAGACAATACATTTCAAAATTTTTTTGGAGGCTGATATAGATTTATCAACCTTTTATTTTCACAAGCACATTAAACTACCATTTGTTATAACCATTATTTCATAGAAGAAAGTATATTTTAACACCAAAGGATTAAGAAAGCTATAATCTCAGAATAAAGGACTTCTTCAGAAGAAAGGGTAAGTTGGCATCTTTGCACGGACACTTTTGGCCCCCAGAGAAGCCCGGGGGTCTGAACTGACATTCTTGTGCCATTGCTATCTCCTAGGATTTTGGTCTCTTCAGTACTGGGCACTGGTTGCCCTTGAGCCCTATCCTTGAAAAGGGCATCAGGAAGGCCTTAGAGGGATCTTCTTGGCCTTTTGGAAGTGATGAGCCCGTCTCAGTGCATCATATCAGGAGATCATGATGTCTGCATGAGTTATTACTGGTAATGTTACCTTTGATCATTTAGATGAGGTGGTATCTGCCTGGTTTCTCCACTGTAAAGTTACTAGTTTTCCTTTTGTAATTAGTAAGTATCTTGTGGAGAGATACTTTGAGACTATGCAAATATTCTGTTTTTCAGCATATTTTTGGCCACTAATTTTGACATCTTTTGATGAATCTTGAAAACACCACCTATGTATTAGTTTCCTATGGCTGCTGTAAAAAATTATCACAAGCTTGGTGGCTTAAAAGGACAGAAAGGTATTCTCTCACCATTCTGGAAGCCAGAAGTTCAGAAGTTTGAAATCAGCTTCATTAGGCTGAAGTCAAGGTGTTGGCAGGGCCACACTCCATCAGAAGACTTTAGGGAAGAACCTGTTCCTTGCTTCTTCCAACTTCTGGTGGCTGCCAGCATTCCTTTTCTTGTAGCTGCATCACTTCCATCTCTGCCTCTGTCTTTACATTGCCTTCTCTGTGTTGAATCTCCCTCTCTCTCTCTAAGGAAATGTGTGATGGTTTTTAGAGCTACCTAGATAATCCATAATTATCTCTTTGTCTTGAGAGCGTTAATTTAATCACACCTGCAAAAACTTTACCATATGAGGTAACATTCACAGGTTCCAGAGATTAGGACCTATCTCCTTGGAGGTTGCCATTCAGCCCATTGCAACTTATTACTGTGGAATTTGCCAAATGGTGATTTTCTATTTCCATCATTTCTCCTACATTTATTGATTAGAATTCTATTGTAAAGACCTATCCCTTCTCCCTTACTTATTTAATAATTTATTTATATTGATAAGAATTTTATTCTATGGGTTGCAATCCACTCCTATCATTATTTTTTTGTTCACATTGTTCCAGAGTTGGCCATTGGTAATTAGCGTTCTACTGTAAGGAAGATCTATCCCTTTCCCCCGCTTATGTCCTTTTGATATGCCCCCATTATTCTTTGAGGACCCCTTTACTTTTGGGTACAAGATGTTCCAGGTTTGTTTTTTTTTTTTTACTATCTTTGCCTCAGCCTGCAATCACACTATTGGCCTACCTGTCTAGTCCTGCTCATATGATCCATTCCTGAGAAGCAAGGGGGCGGTTCACGAGGAAAGACTGGCCTCTCTTCTCTGGCCCCAAACTCACTCACCTTTCTCAGCAAAATAGATCCTGCAGTTAACAGAACCCACTCTTCTTAGAAAGCAGTTTACAGAAGGTGAAGCAATTTGCTTAAGGCTGCTCAGCAGATCTCACATGCCAGCATATCTTAGTCTTAGGCTTTCATTACAAGATGTGCTAACTGGCTTCTTAACACTTATATTGTTAGAAATATCACCTACAGTAAGACCTCATCAATATGATAAACTTCAAGATTTAAGACCTTTTAAACAGTATTTCATATTGTTTAAATTTTACATTTTATCTCACTTATTGTAGTTCTTATATGACAGGTTTTATCAGTATTTTTCAAATTTGAGCACGCATCAGAACCACTGACAGGCTTGCTACAGAGAATGCTGGGCCCTACCTCTGAAGTTTCTGATTCAGTAGGTAAGGCCTGAGAATCTGGTTTTTAAGTTCCCAGGGGGCGCTGATGCCACTAGTCCAGGATCCACACTTTGAGAACCACTGGTCTATTAAAGAAAAAATATGCATTAGAGAAACTCTCATTCATTCTAACTATATTTCTTATGCTCTCAACATGCTAGGTACTGTTCTGTGTACTGAGGATACAGTGGTGAATAAGACGAAGTCCTTTCCCTCAAGCCTCCCACCTCTAGATATTAAGACATATTAAAATTTATAGTAATTAAAACAGTGTGGTGTTGGTACAAGAATAGAACAAAAACCTGGCTTATATAACAAGTATACATTAAAGACAGATAGTATTGCAGAATGGCTTCAGGATTAGTCTGTGTGATTCAGAGAGAGCCTACTTCAGGGCCCCCTAGCCCACTCACATGAATCACTTTCAAGTATTCTTTACACTAGGTCTTAAAATGGGGGAAAAGATAGATGTGGCACCAAATTCATGACATGGATGTTCTGAAATTCATAATTTCTGATGGATGTGGCTGGTGAAGGATGGGATATTGACAAGTGCCCAGTTTTGGTTGACTTGCATTAATGAGGAAAATTGTTAGGTTATTAAGCTAGGTCTTGAGGAACTACTTGGAAAGGTTCTGACTTTACGGTGCTTCTCTCCTTCCCCTACCCCAACACTTAAGAGAAATTTCTCATTCAGGTGGCCTTTCAAGTAAGTGGGAAAGAGATGTGGTTCTAGGACAATTAATTATTTAAGAAAAAATATACCAAATAAATCCCAGATGGAACAAAGATTAACATGTAAAAAAACACAAAGAACAAGAAAATATAGGTGATTCTTTATCTGATACAGAGGTTGAGAAACACACCACAATGAAAAAAGACTCATAGAATATATAATTTACAAATTAGTAAGAAAAATATGACTATGTTAATGGAAAATGAACAAAAAGTTAATTTAAAAAAGAAATACAAAATAGTCTGTTAACATATGAAAAACAGTTTGGCCTCCTTGGTAAGTCAAAGAAAGTGCCAATTAAATTTAACTATTAAACACCATTTTCAATACATCAAGTTGACAAAAACAAAAAGGCTGATACCAGCCCAAGACTGGTGCACTGTTATCATGGATGAGGTGAAGTGGGCTCTTGTAGATCGTCAATGAATAAAATGGTAGAAACCTCTCTAGAAAGCAATTTGAAAGCAAGCATCAAAAGCTTTAAAAATATTCAAACACTTTGATCCAGCAATTCTGCTTCTAGCAATTCATTCTAAGGAAATCATCAGAAATACACTTGGAGGTTTCTGTGCAAGCACGTTTGACCATGTAACAGAAACCCAACGGAGGCTTAAATAAGAGGGTGTTGACTCTTCTCATGTATCAAGAAGTCCAGAGGTTGGCAGTCCAAGGCTGGTGCAGCAGCTCCTCGAGGCATGCCATCAGGATCCAAGCTCCTCGAATCTTTCCACTGTCCCACCCAGACAGGGTGGTGCCTTCCTTATGCCTAAAAATGGCTCCAGTAGTCTTAGGTTTCCTCTCTGTGCTCCAGGCAGGACCGAGAGAGAAGGACAAAGGCTCATTCTTGCCAAATCTGTCCTTTTGTATCAAAAAACCTAGTTGCTTTATTAAGCAGACTTCCACTTATATATATCTTTTTTTTTTTTTTTACAGTGTTATCAACATAGTCACCACATTATACATTAAATCCTCACTTGTATAAGACCCACTTGTATCTCTTAACTTGTCAGAGCTGTCAGATGGCTACCCTTAGCAGGAGCTGGGAAAGTATTCATAACTAGGCACATTGTTGTCTCTCCCATCCAAAGTGGTGTTCTGCTAACGAGGAAGATACAACAGGGGATCTGTTTAATTACGAAATCCTCTGTAGCTATTAATGTTAGGTTTTTGAATTTTACTGACCTGGAAAAATGCTCACAATATAATGCCAAATGAGAAGGAGAGAGAACGTACACAATACAATCTCAATTTTGTTTAAAAAAAATATAATTTACATACATACACACCCTGCACATGGGAAATAACAAAATGTTAACAGTTAACGTCTACAGAGTTAGCATTTCAAGTCAAAGGCGTATTGATGGAGACATAGTTTTTATCTTACTAAATTTTTTTCTGTATTTTCTAAAATGAACTTGTATTATTTTTATAGTAGGAAAAAATGTTATTTTAAAAAACACCCCATAAACTCTTAAAGAAGACTAAGTCCAAAGTGTTTACACTTATTCATTTTCATCTTCATTGTCGAAAGAAAGGAGGCTACTGTTTTTGATTTGCTTTTGTGAGTTCTTTTTAACTGAGTCTTGCTTATTTATTTCATTTTCATTTGTCTTCTTCTTTTTTGAGCTTGCTGTTAAACCTGAGTATTTTTCATCTGAGGAACGCTTGACTGGTTTTCGATACAGGATTCTTCCATCAGCTGAAGCTGGTTCTTCATCTGCAGCAAAAACAAAGTTAAAGAACTTTCTTCTCTCCTCATTATTCTCCCTTTATTGGAGAGTCAAATGGCAAGAAAATATCATACTGTATTTAAGGATGTCCTTGAGTCAATTCAGCCTGGTCTTCTCCACTGCCTCTAGCTCTGTCCCACAAGACATGCAATCACTTAATAAAAACTCACTTACTGAAGTATTCCATAATACTGCCAGTCCCAATTAATTAAAATCAGCCTGCATTTTCAAGTACTTTGAAAAGTGATTGGAACTCTAGCATTTTCCCCTAAAAGCTTTGTAATAAATATTTAGAAATAATGCAAAATATACTATATAGCATACCACACTTCAGGCACTAATTAAATAGACCTCTTTTGACAAGTTTGGAAACCAAACTACTTACTTTTTTAAAAACCAGATGTTTTTACTTAAATTCACACTTAATCCTGATAACAACCCAATAAGGTAGGCATAACAACTCAATAAGGTAGGCACAATTATTGTTCCCATTTTACTGATGAGGTAACTGAGGCTGAGAGGTGAAATAACTTGCTCCAGGTCACACCTCTGGTTAAGTGTTAAAGCCAAAGTTCGACCCTGGAACTGTCTCCTTCAAGCATACACTATAGATAAAATAATTTCATACTCCAGGCTCCTTAAATTGTTAGAAAAACCAGATTACTTTCAGACATACCAGCTTTGGCAGCCTTTATTTCTGCTTTAATTTTCATGACTTCTTCAGCTGACAGGTCTCCCTTTTTTAAAACCACCACTTGAGGCTGTTCATCTTCTTTGTCACTGTGATCACCATCTTCATCTGGGAGCTGAAGCTGGATTCTCTAGGGGAAAACACAAACACCATGTGTAGGTAGCTGACCCTGAACCAAATACAACCACTGTCTCGATGAGAAACTGTAATTACTAAAGTGAGGGGGTAACTTTATTGACTAAATGTGTTTGGCAATGAATTTTCAAGTAACTCTTAAGGGCCTAACCTCACCACCCTAGGGAAGAGGTATACCTGCCAGTTACCCCGAGGTGCCTATCCAATGGGATTAATTCCGATTTCAGCAGGACCCAGCTGGCAGTTCCCAGTGTCAAGGGCCCTCTGCTTCAGGTACTGCTGGCATTACCAGCCTACTCAGGGCAGTGCTGAACTACATGAGTTCTCTCTGCTCTTCATCAACGCTTTTCACTTCCATCTCAAAGTGTGACAAAAAATAATCCAACAGCACCAATGTACAGAAAGCAACACATAAAAGGTACTTTTTCTCCCACCTCTGCTCATCTCTCCTCCCTTCCAAAAGCTAGTTTGGTGGGTATCCTATCAGCTGTTTTCTAAGTGTATGAAAATATAGAGGTATATAAAACATTTTGTATACTAACAGATACTGTACATACTACTATATGACTTGTTTTCTTTTCTTTTTAAATTAAGAAACTTCCCAAACATAAAAAAGTACAGAGAATAACATAACAGAAACCATGTACTCACTATACACATGTAACAAATGGTAACATTTGGCCAGTTGATTCAGATTTTTAAAAATGTCAGTCACCATAAAAGCCTCACTCCTCCAACTTTATTACTGAAAAAATATCTTTGCACAATACCTTGAGATACATATGGAATTACCTATTTTTAAAAATCATTGCCTAGTATTTAATTATATAGATGATCATCTCATGGTTTATTTGGCCAGTACCTTGTAAACAAAAATTTTGGTTGCTTCTAGTTTTTTTCCACTATGCCAAAAATTTTGCACACATTTTTGTTCACTTTTGTGAACTTACATGTAAGATAAATTCCTGGAAGTGAAACTGCTGGGTTGAAAGGCATACCTACCCGTCAGACATTATTCAAATAGCTTGTTAGTCCATTTCTCACAGAGCCTTCCTTGTCTCCCAAGCAGGGAAACAAAGCCCTGCAGGATCTGGCCTCAGCCCACAACCACAGCTTTATCCTCCACCGCCCTCATGGCCTCTGGATTCCAGCCAGGTCTGAGTACTGTAGATCATGACTGTATTAGCTCCTTTGCCTCCCTGGTCTCTGAACAAGTACTCAGTGCCTAGAAAGCCCCACTGACCCTGGCCAACTCCTACTCAATCTGCCTTCTAGACTCAGAGCTTCAGAAGTGCTTTCCTGATCTCACCCCCTCTTCTTTCTCACACTGTGTATAACTCATAGATAGTATATACCACACTGCGTTATCAATGTTTTTCTATCTGACTCCAGTAGGCAAGCTCCTTTGAGAGAGATACTATGTGTTTCATCTCTGTATCTAGAGGCAGAGAGCCTGGCAAATAGCAGGGACGCAAGAGGTATTTGTTGATCTGCTCATGAATGATCAATGGGATGAAAAATGATGAACTACTTGAAGCCCTGGCAAACTACTCACAGGCACACTCATCCATTCTGCCTACATCCCACGTCTGCTCAATCACTTGACAAGTGCATTTCTCTTTAATGATATCCATGTTAGTTCCCTGATTATCCATTAGTTTTGCCTATTTTTCTCTGAAAGTTTCCAATGAATGACCACAAACAAGTAGGTAATAAGTATTTTTAGCCAAGGAAATGGGAAAGTGAAATAAAGTCTTTCCTGGTGTTCATTAGATTGAGAATCATTATTTCTGACTCTCTTCTCTTATTGTTTACACAACTGGCTGGAAAACAAGAGAAACAGTCTAAGGAAGGGTGGCAGCAGCCACTGAGGACATTCAAAGCCACTCCTGAACTAACTCTGGAGAAGGTAATTAAGATGATTTAGCTCAATTATATAATGACTTCCCATGAAACTCTTCTTTTTAACATATCACTAGAATGATAATTATATGCCAAACTAAGAATGAAGTTGGTTTCACAAACACAGAAATACTGGGTATCTCTCTATGGAAAAGTCCCTTGATTAAATAAATAAGCCCAAATCACTGATATTAATTGGAAAGCTTTCCCCCTCAGCGTGCTCCTAAAATAACATTCCAAGCTATAATCTTCAAGGTGTTAACTATGCACACATGATCATCACTAGGACCTAAAACAAACTATAAAATTAGGTCTCAGGGCCGGCCCGGTGGCATAGCAGTTAAGTGCGCGCGCTCTGCTGCAGCGGCCTGGGGTTCGGATCCCAGGCGCGCACTGACGCACCGCTTGTCAAGCCATGCTGTGGTGGCGTCCCATATAAAGTAGAGGAAGATGGGCACGGATGTTAGCCCACGGCCAGTCTTCTTCAGCAAAAAGAGGAGGACTGGCAGATGTTAGCTCAGGGCTGATCTTCCTCACACACACAAAAATATTAGGTCTCAAATTCTCATTGCTGAATCCATGTCCCTTTTTGAAACCTTATCCTCTTTGTCATCATCACCATTTTTGTCCTGGGGATCAGTTACTCCCTGATCAAGTTATCTCAAACCAAAAATGGCTCTTTGTTGCCTACTGCATAGTCCATATGGCCTCACCTCCATCAGTCCCTCAATCACCTCTACATACAGCCCATGCCTCACCACCTCTACACCTTTACCCCTGCTATTCCTTCCATCTCTACCTGGTGAACTACCTATGCTCAAGATTCAGTCTAAATATCCCCTCCTCTACGAAGCCCTGCCTGATGACAAGCATAGTCATCTAACCAATGTAACTAGTCACCCACCACTTGGTGCCAGGCACTGTGCCAGGTGCTGGGAAAATACAGAGGGATTAAGATCCTAACTTAGAGAGTCAGATTTAGTGGTTGAGATACACAGGAGAGCAAGTAGCTGCAAAGCAAAATGATGAGTATTACAGATGAAACATGGGTAAAGTGAAGAGAAGAACAGAGCAGGAGTAACTGTTTGGGGGAGCTTGGAAGGGCTTCACAGAGGTGGTGACCTGTGAAGGCAGAGACAAGGCAGGCAGGAAGGTGTTAAAGAATGTGGCATTTTGGAGATCCATCTCCTTGCCCTTTCAGAGCCTGGCACAGTGCCTGGGTTTAGCACATACTCACTGGATTGAGCAATTTCACGTAAGTCAGTCTTGTCTCCTCTAAGCTCTAAGTGACTTGAAGGGTGGTTCTTAGTGCAAGTGCTAGACACAAAGTGCTAAATAAATTCTTTATGTCTCCAGGCATCCCCTAAGCATAACAGTCTCTTCCTACTCAAAGAGGCAGGGCAGGTTTTGGTGTGAACCAGTTCAGGTAGAAGCCTGGGAGAGCTCAGAAGCTGACTCCAACTGAAATCCATCCCTAAACTATTCGGGTGTGGCTCCTTCCTTAAACTCCTCTTTTTCTACTCAGATCCAACACATTCCAGGCTTTTGTTTACTTCTTTAAAAAATATGCTTACTTTTTTTGTGTGTGTAACAACCAAGCATAGGAATAGATCCAGGGCATTCCTCCAAATGATTCCTCCAGACTCGAGGCCTAGGATATCAGGTCATTTAGTCGACTGGCCTCAGTTTCTTTACCTGGAAAATGGGACGACGCTACCACTCACCCTGCAAACTACAGGTTTTCGAATACCCAAGTGAGAAAGAAGACACAGGAAAGTGATCTTTCTGAACCCTCTATCGAGGACGAGGCGCTTTGCCTGCGTCGGGTCATTTTCAAGAACATAGCAGCACTCTGAAAACGACAAAAAACCTCCTGGGCGCAAGAGGCTGTAGTTGTTTGAAAAGGACCAACCTGGGGTCCGAAGCCCACCCGTACTGGGGGCCGGGCGCGCGTGACCCGTCAGTACCTGGCCTCCAAGTCGAGGCAGAAGCCGGAAGTGGCGAGGCGGCGGCGTTTCCCAGGTAACGCGACCAGCCCGGGCTCACCTTGGTCTCCAGGGTGGGCCCTTCCCTGTAGCCGACCCGTTCCTTGAAGCGAGCCAAGAACGCCGGCTCGGCTGGCCGCACGTACGACACCTGATTCCGCTTGCTCATGGCTGCTCTGCGGAAAAACAAGCTCACCGGGCCGCCTCGAGACGGTACAGGGGCGCCGACTCGTGACGTCACGTAGGCCCCGCCCCCTGGCTGGAGGCCGGGCAACATGGCGGCCTCCGTACTGGCGTCAACGTCCGAGCCGAGCGCCAAATTCAAATTCGCGGCCATCTTGAGCGGCCAGAAACTCTGCTGGCAGCGCGGCTGGAGGTGAGGGTGTCGGCTGCGTTGGTCTCGGGATCGATGCGTGAGGGCGCCATGGCGCCTGGCTGCAAAAGTAAGTAAGGAGCCTCGGCTTCGTGACCCTGTCCCCGCCCCCAAATACAGGTGTGAAAGGACGGCCGCCCTTGGCCGCCCGCAGGGTTCCCTGCTGGGCGTGAAGGGCAGGAGCGGACTGAGCGGCCGGGGGCGTTTGGAATCTCCGTCCCTCAGAGACAATACACCGACGGAACAGCCCTCTTCCCTTCCGTCTGTGTTCGGGCGCACGCTCCCAGCCAGGCACCGGTCTAGTCACCTGGGCTGAACCAGAAACGAAAGCCCTCATCCAGAGGCTTGGCTCAGCGACCTGCCCATTCTCCCCTCGCGTCCTCGGTCCTGCCGTTTCGTGTCCCGACCGGGGCTGCCTCTCACCACCTCCTGCGTTTCCACATTACTGACCTTCCTGAAGGGGAGCACTTACTCCTGATCCAAGCACGTCTTTCTCTCTTGGAGGGCGCGCTATAGACTCTCCCCAGATAAGGGACATTTAAAGCACAGAATTCAGCGGTTCTTTATCTTCTCACAATCCCTATTTTCTCCTCAAGGAGACCTGTCCAATTTCTTCCTTTTTTCAGGGAAGGGAGCGCTGTCATTTTTGCTTTTAATAAACCCTTCAATTTTCACTAATTTCTTGGTCCTTTGCTGTTCCTGAGTACGTACCGCATCTCTTACGTTGCGTAATCCTTGACGGAATCTTGCTTTTTAAGGCGGAGTTGATGGATCTCAGTGAATGGTATGAATGGTAATGAGAAGAGGCCTGTGTTAGAAGATGGAAAAAATTGTGAACTTCTGGTGTTGACCTTTCCAACAATGTTAATCCTTCTAGATGTCGTTTGTAATTCTTTTCTCTGTTTGTTGTTTCATTATCCTTTTAGGTCGATCATACCATTACCTGAACAACTTATTGTGCTCTCTTTTTCCATCTAAAATGTTCCTTTTCCTCCACCGTTTTCAGTATTCAGGGAATATTAGCACACAAATTGTACGTGATTGGACCAAAATGTTTATTGTGCTTTCTGCACAACCACAGTATTTGTTCAGTAAATCTGGACTCAAGCAAGAGAACTGATGCCTGTGATATAATTAGAGCATCTGTTTGTTTAATGAGAAGTGATATATGTATGTGCCTCTCTATTAAAGGACTCGGCCCTGTCCATATATATCACTTGCTTGAAGTGATGGGTGCAAGGATTTTCATAGCTCCCCTTTGTGATGGTGGTGATTTCCATGGAGAACCCTCCCGCTCCTTTAAGTTTGTTGGCAAAGTTGAGGTTGATGACATCCCAGATAAGTGCCCTTTGCATTCCCAGCAGTCCAGAGACCTGGAGCGTGAAGTGGGAACACATGGGAGGAGGGAGCCCATGCAGCGCTCTCTGCAACTTTTACTTTTGTGCCAGTGAAGGTTATTTCTTGTGACGTCATTGGCACCATGGGTTGCTGACTGTGAAATCAGAGAAATGAGAATGTGAAATATAACCCTAATGAAATTGACTGAGTTTAAGATGACCTTTCTGAACTTAATCGTATTTGGTCAAATGATCCGTAGGTATTTATCTGGACTGCAGAGGTAAGCATCTTATGGGCTTTTCAAAGCAGGAAGACTTTTTAAAAAATGTACTGTTTTGTTGAGGTATAACTTACATACAATAAAGGACACAAATCTTAAGACTACTGCTCAATGAACTTTTCATATGAATATACTCTTGTGACCACCACCCAGATCAAGAAATAAAACCGTTCCTGTACTCCAGAACGTTCCCTGTGATCCTTCCTAGTTAATAGCCTTCCCTTAACCATTACTCTGACTTCTGTCACCATTGATTAGTTTTGCCTATTCTTGAACATCATGTAAATGGTACAGTATTTATTCTTTTTTTTCTGGCTTCTTTTGCTGAACATTATATCTGTGAGCATGGTCTATCTGTTGTATGTAGCAGCAGTTAATTCTTTTTCGTTGCTGTTTAATGTTCCATTATGTCAGTATACTACAGTTTGTTTATTCTCCTATTGATGGACATTTGGGTTCCTAGATGGGCTATTATGAGTAAAGCTGCTGTGAATACTCTTCAACATATTTTAAGGCAGACAAATTGAGGATCTCAAAGTTGAAAGAATTTTACAGTGAATGCCCACAAAGGACCTTTTGTAATGTCAACATTTTATGGCAGCCACATGAGCAATTTTTATCTTCCCTTTATCCTTGGATTAAGATGCTGCATAACGAGGTGCTTAAGAGCAGGAGCTCTGGATCCAGAATGCCTGCGTTCCAATCCTAGCCCTCCTCAGTGACAATATTTCCTCAGGTCTCATTAGGAATAATGCCAGAACTCCTTAGCACTTTTTATTTCATTTTATCTCACTATTGGCTTATAAGCTTTGCTGCTGCTTTTTTTTTTTTTAAGTAAACATATCATTTTGGAATAGTTTTAGATTTACAGAAAAGTTGTACACATGTGTAAATTCATATTCATCCAATCACTAGCTCTCTCTGTGAACCTCTCTTCTCTGATTTTTTTACCTTACAAATTCTAGCTGCCTTGGCTTCCCCAAACTCTGAACTCTTTCTTCTCAACTCAGCAAGACCATTAAGCTCTATCTGCACTCCCCTTCCTGCACTGTGGTCTTGAGACCCCAGGCAGGTAAGCTGGAGCAACCAAAGGGCTCACCTCCATTTCCCTTCTCTCAGGATCACTTTATTGTGCTGTCTGTTGTCCAGTGTCTGAAAACTTATTGCATATATTTTGCCCAGTTTCCTGGTTACTTAAGACAGGAGAGTAAATCCAGTCCCTGTTACTCCATCATGACTGGAAGTAGAAGTCTGGATCTGTTTTTGGTTCATCTTTACACCTCGGGTATGGCCTTTCAGTCTCCCATTTGAAAGTGTGAAACATTTATCAATGCTCTGAGCACCAATTTTTGTTACTCTCATCTGTGAGTCTGTTAAAAGCTCTGCCCAAATGCTCAGCCTCTTAGCTGTAGCTTTTAGAATCTGTGATCGCTTCAAGGGAAAAAGCAGCCTCACATGCTGTGTTCACACCCCTGGGCTGCTGTCTCTCTTGGACTTTGGCTCCACAATTCCTGACCGCCTTGGCAGGACTCCAGTGCCTTCAGGTAGATGTTTGCTGTAGTTTTTCTGCTTTTCTACTTGCTCTCAGGCAGGAGGGTTGAGCTGAAATAAACTAGTCCTTTACTTCTAGACTGTAATATTAAGAAAAGCCTTACTCTAATAAGTTCAGTTTTCTTCCAGGATAAAAAAAAAATCTGTATCTGAGGAAGCATGAAAGGTAGAAAGAAGATGAAAACAAGTCCTATTAGCATAAAGAAAAGCTATAACTGTGGCCCATGATAGTGTCATCGTTTTCTGCTACACTCCTGCCTAGCAACTCAAATCCTGGTTCTATTATTTCTAGTGCTGACATGCAGGGATGGCCTGAACCTTTTAATTTCAAATGGCTAAAAAAGAAAGCTTGGGTAAAATGGGATATCTTTTGCTGTTATCTTGAGGATTCATGGTTGTTATAGATGATAGTTGTGTTAGTCTGTTTGGGCTGCTCTAACAAAAATAACATAACCTGGGTGGCTTTATAAACAACAGACATTCATTTCTCACAGTTTTGGAGGCCAGGAACTCCAGGATCATGGCACTGGCAGATTCCGTGTCTGGTGAGGGCCCGCTTCCTCAAAGAGGCTGTCTTTTTGCTCTAATCTTACGTGGCAGAAGGGAAGAGCTGTCTCTCTGGTGTCTCTTTTATGGGCACTAATCTCAATTGTGAGGGCTCTGTCCTCATGACTTGATCACTTCCCAAAGTCCCCACCTCTTAATACTATCACTTTGGGGGTTAGGATTTGAACCTATGAATCTGAGAGGGACACAAACATTCATACCACAGAGGTGATAAAGAAATGACTTGTCCATCATTTGTATAGAATAAAAAGGTTGACTGCATTCATTGACTGCTTTCAGCATGGTACACTGTCTTTAAGGACAGCTGAGATTTAGGTGCCTGTTTTGAACTTCCTCCTCATAAAACCTCCAAAACGTCATCTGAGTTACCTGTCTGACTAAAATCTTCCTATTTTTTGCTGACCTTTTCTGCTGTCAGGATATATGACCCCTACTCCTATTATCTATTCTAATCTTAATTTTCTTCTTTCTCCAGCTCCTCATAAGGACCAGACTTCAACTTTCCTAACATGAACACTTTCCTTTTGTATCCTGGCTTTCTCATTTGTTTTTACTTTTGCTAAAGTTACAGAGGGGCTGTTTCTTTGATGCCAGCTCTTGGGGGAAGTGTGAATTGGGCAGGTGAGGAATTGGGCAGTCTGTGGTCTGTTTCCCACTTCATAGACATTCATTTGCTTGAGGGTGTAGCTGGAAAGGGTAGTCTCCAGAGATCAAATTGTTCTGTGGTAAACATTTACTTTGAGCTCTTATGCTATGAGCAGAATAGAAATTAAGAAGTCCTTTTTGCTGGTCTCCTAGTATCCATTCATTCAAATATATTTATTGAGTGCTTACTGTGTGTCAGGCACTGCTTAGGTAATGCTTTATAGTCAATTTGGTAGAGAAAGAGTAAACAAATTATATATTAATGACGGCAGTAGTAATAAGTTCTTTGAAGGAAAATAGGGCCAAGAAAGGGAGTTAGAGTGATAGATAGGTGGGGAGACATGCTGTTGTTTCACATAGGGAGTGGTTGTGGAATGCCTTATTAAGAAGGTGATATTTCAGTAAATACCTGAAGAAACTGGGGAAACGTTCCAGGGAGAAGTTACAGCAAGTTAGAGGTACTGAGTGTGGCATGTTCAAGAA